GTGTAAATGATTCACTTCATGACATCGCAGTGTTTGAGTTCCTGATTATGGGATGAAAAATTTTCTGATTTGTGTCATTCTTCTACTTAATATTTACTATTCGCGTTTCCTTGCTGTTGAATATTTGAAAACTTCGAAATAGAACAAAAAAAAGACTTACCTCATTTGGCACACGGCATTCCAAAACATGATCGAATCTTCCTGGACGTAACAACGCACTGTCTATGAGATCTACTCTGCTTGAACATCCAATCACAAATACACCTTAAATAGCATGCTGACGTTTCCTTTTCATGAACTGAATGTTTGGAAGAGGCAGAACTCTAGCTTAGGATAAATTAATCTTTGATATTAATGGTGGTACCAATAGATACCACTTTTATTCGACAACTTCTGGAATAGGGTGGAATGGCACCCGATACAGGAGCACGTGGATTTTGAGAGGACGGGCGGCTACTTCGTCCAACCTTGGACCTTTACTTTTTCCGACGAAAATGATGCCAGCTGCTTTGCATCGCTGTTACTGCTTCCATGAGCAGGGCCACCGAAGGCGGCGAGGCATCTCAAATAAGTGAGCCTGCTTTTGCTGCCATGTTATGAATATAGCCTCCAGCCAAGTATATCTACTGAGGATGCATGAAACCCACGCCCGTTGCCCTACGTCTTCGAAGCGGCACCCTTGAATGGTAAAACTATCGTGAAGCTGCATATGTGAAAAATCTCGCCCGGTTGGTCTCTTGCTAATGAAGCCTCTGCACGTCAACATCAGATCCTCACTCGCTCTCTCAACGTGCCGATTCAGTTTGTGACGCGTTGCAGTCGGAGCTCTAGGAAGTGGTCGTCGCTACCATAGTCGCACTACAATGAGAAGGCCTCCTGTTGTAAAGTTTCTGCTCCACTAGTTGTAGGCCAAGGAGAGACTGGCAGCGTCCATTGCCATTACCTTCATTGAAATCGAGAGCACCTTCTGGAGAATGCGCATGCAATCGACTTCGGCAACCAACTACACACAATTGACTCTGCACACACACTCTGCACAGAGCCGGAAAATCATAGTGTTTGATAGTGGTTCTAGCGTTGTGCACGATTATCGAGCCCACTTCAGGAGACAGGAGAGTTTCAAGACGATCAAAAAAAGTGCAATGAGATGATCTTCTAATGCCGTCATGGACAGCTTATCCTAGGCAACGTACGCGCTCTCCACTCTTCAGGATTAGGCACTTCTTCAGTATACCCACAAACACGGCACGATTGTCGGTGCCTCACAGCTTCCCGATGTCGTTACGCCGGTTCCACGTAGCTTACACTGAGGTAATGGTTATCACTTTGTTTGCCATCTATCTTTTCAAAATATTTCTTTGTCTCTCCGGTGTAGGCAAGCAACGTCCGAGGTTGGACTTTTTGACAGGGAGAGCTGGGTAGGATTTGGATTCAATACAGTGGCGTAAGATCCTCATACAATCCCGGTTGAATCTGCATCATTTTTATTCGAAGGAGTGTTCGAGCACTTCCGCGATAATTCATATGATCAGAGGATTTATCCTTACAACGGTTAGGGCAAAAGGCATAGCGGCTTCTTGAACCCGTGACTACGATTCCTTTGAATGACTCAGCTCTTTGATTGGAATAATGACATGTACCTCGCCTTCAAATGACCAGAAATTGTGCAATTGCAGAAATTGACGTGGCATTAACGTGGCATCGATTCAAGAACATCTTTGAGCACACGTGATGTCACCTTTTCATCGAGAATTTAGCCACGGTGCCACGTGGCTAAATTCTCGATGAAAAGGTGACATCACGTGTGCTCAAAGATGTTCTTGAATCGATGCCACGTTAATGCCACGTCAATTTCTGCAATTGCACAATTTCTGGTTATTTGAAGGCGAGGGTATGTCTATTCGTTCTCCAGTCGTCTGTCCCTCCACTCGTCACTATTTCTTTGCCGTAGGCTCCTACAGTGCTCGAGATAAGCTGCAGAAAGAACATCACATTAATAATAGCATTTCTGGCAATTGTTCATGCTTTTCTCTATAGCGCTGAACCAAACGTCGCTTTATAGCTAGAACATGTATGGAGCTTCGCACACCTTTCACAACTTGAATGAGCTAGCCTTCACACTAAATGTGAAGAACACCTTCGAGCATCAAGATCAGGTAAACAACAAGAAGAAAGACTTGAGCCTGTGCTACAATCCCATCTCCGTGCTTACCCGCTTGCTTGATATTTCCATGTACTGGTAAAGGATTTCACCTGTGAACCGACCTGATTTGCTTTCGACTCCATCCATTTCGGTGAGAATTTGGTTAACGACGCGATCTGTCACTCCAGTTGAATCAGATCCCCGTTGTGGAGCTAGGGAATCGAGCTCATCAAAGATAATGACACATGGCGAAGAAGCACGTGCCCTGGTACAGCAAAAGGATTAGATAAGAGCCTATATGCTTCATAGAAGCCAAATGTCGCATTTATTGCGCATCTCAAAATAAAAACCCACCGTTCAAAAATTTTTCTGACGTTGCCTTCGCTAGACCCAATAAATTTTGATAGAAGTTCGGGTCCCTAAATGAAATCATATTTTCAAAAATATTGATAGTAGAGCATTACGGAACACTCGCAATTCCTACATATTTTCAAATTGCTTGTAAGAGATGTTCAATTGTGGCTTTATAGCGCACTTATTGATTTGTTTTGTTAGTCAAAATGTCACTGAGAAGTTCTTTTTCAAATGCGCTTTTAACATTTAGCACTCGTTGTTCCTGAACATATTCTTCGTTTATGTAACCGCCTATTCTATTTCTTCTAAATGAGTTTCGAATACTAAAAGTTTCTTATCCACATTAGAGGACGAGTGCACATCTGTGATGCCTGGCAAATGTACAGAGGAGTCCATTTTAGAAATTATACTGATAAGCTAAAATCATGGAAACCAGAAATGGGCATGGAAACCTCAACCGCTTAAGTGCTATCTTTCTTTAGAAAACTTCTTTTTATTCTCTTTTTATTTTCTGTGTCCCTCTTCTTCAAGTAGCGTGCAAAGATTCTGCCATTCTACTGGAATAATGAAGCCAATCCTGTTTCTAGAGAAGTAGATCTGAACGCTTTGTTGGGCAGGCAATGAAAACAATGAAGCAACCTCTCTTGAAGGCAGTGATTACGATAGGTTCAAGAGGGTTCAGAGGAGACGTGGTGGTGCTCAATGGTACGCAGTGCGAAAAAAAAGCAGAGAGGATCCGTCAGAAACGCAAAACGGGACCGCCTCCATTTTTAGCCATTGGTACCCAATGACGAACAGGTAACACTCAGAAAAAGCGGACCGTTATGAACAGATTAATCGCGACGCGTTTGTGCCAGCATGTCAATTCGCATGACACAGTCGAGTTTGCGTAAGCAGTTGAGCCGTTGTTGACAACAGCCCGTCCTAAATCATCAAGTGAATTAGTGGGCGGATCGCTTTTGGGGGCGGAGTGCTTTTCGAAGTCCTGCTCAGCAACCAGCGCACCTTTCGTCGTGAAAGCGCCACCTCGCTTCCCTGGCAGCCAAGTAACTGATTCGTGTGGTGCATATGCTTTCCCGATGCGCTCCCTCTTTATCGTAATCGCTGCCTTTGAGGAAATGTTTATATGGGCTTCGACAGCCGCTCTGGTAAAAAAAAACATTAGGAAGTGATATTGAGTATCAGAGCGGCAAGCCCAACAGTATTGACTCGCACCGTCAAGGGTTCCCAGCGATTGACCTATCTCCTTGCATGAAAATATTAAGATAGTCTCCAGCTTCTCTCTTCTTGTAACCTCGGCATTCTTTGTTCTTATTTGTGTTTGTTTCTTCTGCCGTTCGAGGTTGATAGGTGGAACATTTATTCAATCGGCCTAACGTTTCGACAAAATCGTCGTCTTCTGAGGCCTAAACGCGGTTCAAGGTTAAGATTAACGATCTAATCTTCCAAGCGCCTTATCCTCAAACCGCTAGAGGAGATAAGGCGCTTGGTAGATTAGATCGTGAATCCTTAACCTTGAAGTTTAAGCCTCAGAAGACGACGATTTTGTCGAAACGATAGGCCGATTGAATAAATGTTCCACCTATCAACCTCAAACGGCAGAAGAAACAAACACAAATAATAAGAGTGTTATTTCGGAACTTATCCACCGAATTAAGAAATCTTTCTGATCAGCTAGGATGTATGAGACTGGTTTTCGTGCTGACCAGGTTGCTTGGACCCGGCACGTCAGTGCACATGGTTATGAATGACATGTGAAATCGCTGAGCGTCATTCTGCTTTATTCATTCATCTGGAGCATCCTCGATTCCAAGGATGAGCAAAGCTTAACCGAGACTCTGTTTACCAGAAGGAACCTCTGCAGAAGGCAAGGAATGAGTTGGACACCGACTGCCTCCTAGCCACGGTCAATGTGTCTACCCATCGCCTTTGAGCCTGAGTCCAAGCAAACAAATGGACATAGTTACAAAAGAAGGAGTAGTGCGTTTGCGCGAAGCCCGTCCTCGATGGTACGGTCATGTACTTGCACGAACTGACTGTGCCGGTCAGCTTCAGCCTTAGGCCGATGTCAGACTTTGCGAATCGCGCGATTCGCTACTAGCGATTCGCGCGATTCGCTAGCGTCCGCGGTCGCGTTGCGGTACCAGCCAATTGAGTGATTCACTGGCCGCGACGCGACCGCAGACGCTAGCGAATCGCGCGATTCGCAAAGTCTGACATCGGCCTTGATGTGTTCGGGAAGCGGCCTGAGGGACGCCCGAAACAGCGTTGGCTCGATACGTTGCACGAAGACTTCGGTTAACATCCACCCCGATCAAGCATTTAATCGGGAAAAGTGGCGTCAGCACATCAGAAAAGCGGACCCCGCCAACCCTAACAAGAAGGATAAACGCTAAGAAGAAGAAGAAGTTGATAGATGCCAATGCTATATGCTCAAGTAATATTTTTGCGTGTCAGATGTATGGTTTCCATGATTTTGCCCGAACCTGTAGCATACCTATGCTTTTACTCCTTACTGCAGACCTAACAGTGCAGTAGTAGTAAGGGAGTAAGAGACCTTTCCATTCAATGGTGTTCTCAAAGAAAAGACAAAAGCAACAACATAATCTTCAGTTGGCTCTAACTACCCCATACCCGCAATGTCTCGACATGGCGCATAGCAAAACGAAGTACGACAGCGCACTTGTGACTGCACGCGCGCAAACTAAATTAAATAAAGCTTCCTCAGCCTTTTCTAGAATACCATTAACAGTTAATGAAAATCGAGTTGAATTTAGAATGAGCCACGGCTGCCTTAGCTAAAAGTGTCTTTCCACATCCTGATGGCCCATGTAACAGCACTCCTTTCCCGAGACGAATCCCATAGGCATCAAGTACTCTTGCGTGCTGCAACATGGTTTAAACGAACGGAATACGAAGAAAACACTGTTTCATCTTGTTAACTAAAATAGAACATTGTTCAGTTGGTAAAGTTATTTTACAGTGTATACTGCCGTTTTTCATTGGTGGGATATGAACAGTTGGCGGAGGTGATGAAGTTGTCCGCCGTCAGTTCTGTTGCGATGTTAGGAAAATTCACCTCAATCACTGCACCACAGTACATCAAACGAAAATTAGATAGCACTGTTTTTGAAATCCTGATGACAAGGGGAACTGTGGCGTGTAGGTCATCATGGGGGAGTAAAGCTCACCAGCGGCGCGAAAGAAATAAACTTAATAACTGACTTCATTCTTAGCGGCTCGATTTTTCCTTCTGACAAAGTTGACTAGCTTTTACGACGTTTTGTTGCCATGCACGTCTCCCACTTACGAATTAAGTTACAAAGTAAGTTAGTTCTGTCACACACACACAGAAGAAGTGTCTATTGAAATGTTAAGTATCGACGAGGTTTGAATTCCGAGCGCACATTGACGGAATTGTTTGTTCCATACCCTCCAAGACCCTCATAGCAAAGTTATTTGCAACATAATTTCGGCCCAAATTTCGCGCAGCATGACTGCTTCAGAATGCAGACCAAGCTAAATTGGAAAAGGTAAAGATGCAAGATCATCTGACAGGCTACTGTATTTGAATACATTATATTCAAAACGGTACTTAGAATGACTGTAACCCACCTTAAAGCGGCTACCTCCAAGCACCTCGAGCAGTATGCGCTTTTCCGCGTTCCATCCCACCTACATCATCAAGCGATAATTTCGCTTCACTTTTAGCTTTCGCTCCGAACTGAATGACGGAACGAGAGCAGGTAAGAGCTCGATCGAAGTCACATTCCATAACAGAGATGACGAATGCGCTTAACAAGTAATTCTATTAGAAATAGGAGAAACCATCTTATGAGAAGACAACACATTTTTTCTCCAGTATTACATTTATTTATTTTTTCTTCAGTTTCCTAAGTCTCTATGCCGACTTGCAGCAAAAATAATTCCTGCAAGAGAGCTCATTCCGGAGTGCGCTCAATGGACCGCATTGGACCTCTTTCAGCCTGACCAAAAAACCCTGGCTCTACCTGACACCTTGATGCACGCCCCGCCCACCGCTGACGTTTCTTTTCTTTCGCTTCTCTGATTGCTACCGATCTCTCTCAGTTTCCTATTTTTAGGACTAATATGTGAATTATCAGTCTTCGTTTTTTTCATCAGTTCTAGCCACTGTCCGAAACATTGTAAATTCAGATTCGCAATCCGCCCAATCGTACAGTGCGCCAACCACAAAGCATCCATTCTTCTTTCTCTCGCTGATCCAAATCATTCTCTAACGTTGTTCGATTGCGCATCCCAGCATGTGAAGTTGTGGACATCTACGGACGTGTACAGGAGACTCTTTATTGAGATTTTTCAGAAGCCAGCGATTTTCCGTAACTTTACTAAAAGTTTGCTAACCAAGATTACGAGTGTCAGTCAACCGGCTTAGCATGCGTAAACAATGGGATAGTTTTAACTAAAGGAAACTTACCACGGATCTTGGCCTCCACCTCCATCCTTGTAGCCAAGTGTTGCATATTTGACACTTGAAGGCCTTCCATGGCCTCAGCTGCGATAGAGGGATCATAATCGGATTTCAGTAGTTCGCGTAGCACTTGACTGCTTTCTTCCTGAACTTATTACATAATGCGCGTTTTATGAATGTTCTACATGTATGTTTCACAGAATATATTTTTAAAGGCAAAGTTCGGGCTCAGACCCACTTAATGAGCCTTTACGGTGGCTAGAAGCGCTAGGTACGCAAGTGTAGGGGTCGCGTCACTTCCCTACTTCGAAAACCGTTATTTAGACGCTAGGCTAAGAACTTT